ATAGCCAGCCTCCCCACCACCCCCGCCCCCGGCTAACAAAACCACCACAGAGTGGTACATTTGTTACAACTGATGAACATCCACTGACATATCATAACCACCCAAAGTCTATAGTTTACAAAAGGGTTCATGCTTAGTGTTTCACATTCTAAGGGTTTGGACAAATGTATGGCATGTATCCGCCATCATGTAAGACAGAATAATTTCCTTGCCCTAAAAATCCTGTAATCTGCCTATTCATCCCTCCCTCTTCCTAACCACCCTTTCCATCTTTTTACCATCAACATGGTTTTTGCCTTTTCCAGAATGTTATATTGTTGAAATACAGTACAGAGTCTTTTCAAATTGGCTTCCCTCATTTAGTAATGTGTGATTAAGTTTCCTCCAGGTATTTTCATGGCCTGATAGCTCGTTTCTTTTTAGCACTGAATATTTCTTTGTCTGGATGTACCACAGTTTGTTTTTCCTTTCACTTACTCAAGGACATCTTAGTTGCTTCCAAGTTTTGGCAATTAAAAAGCTGCTATAAACATCTGTATGCAGGTTTTAGTGTGGACATAAGTTTCAACTCATTTGAGTAAAATTCCAAGAAGTGTGATTGTTGAATCATATGGCAAGAGTATGTTTAGTCTTTTTAAAAACTGCCAAACTGTCTTTTAAAGTGGCCGTACCATTTTGCATTCCCACCAGCAATGAACAGGGAGTTCCTGTTGCTCCACATCCTCACTAGTATTTGATGTTGTCAGTATTTGGGGTTTGGGCCATTCTAATGTGTGTGTAATGGTATCTCGTTTTAATTTGTAATTCTCTAATGACATTTGATGTCAAGCATCTTTTCATATGTTTATTTGCTAACTGTGTATCTTCTTTGGTGTGAGAGGCAGTTGACAAAAACATCTGTCTGTTGAGGTCATTTGCCCAGTTTTTAAAAAGGTTTCCTTATTACTGAGTTGTTATTTTTTAATCCTTATCCAAGAATGTGTATTGATTTTAGAGAGGAAGGGAGAGAGAAACATCAATTGGCTGCCTCCACCACATACCCCCAACCAGGAATCACATCTACAACCAAGACATGTACCCTGACTGGGAATTGAACCTGCAACCTTTTGGTATATGGGACAACGTTCCAATCAACTGAACCACCCTGGCCAGGCAAAAACCATGTTGATGGTAAAAAGATGGAGGGGCGGTTAGGAAGAGGGAGGGATGAATAGGCAGATCACAGGATTTTTAGGGCAAGGAAACTATTCTGTCTGACAGTATGATGGCGGATACATGCCATACATTTGTCCAAACCCTTAGAATGTGAAACACTAAGCATTATTATTGTGGCTTGTTTTTTTTTAATTTTTTAAAATTGATTTTTAGAGAGGGAAAGAGAGGAACATCAGTGTGATAGCATAATAGTGAAACATCAATCGGTCACCCCTGAATGCCCTGCACTGGAGTCAAGCACAAAACCTAAGCATGTGCCCTGACTGGGACACGAATCAGCAACCTCCCAGTGCATGGGACAACACCCAACAGAGCCACTCCAGCCAGGATTTATTGAGTTTTAAGAGCTCTCTGAAGAACCAAGATGGCGGCATAGGTTAACGCCGGAGTTTGCTGCTTTGAACAACTACTTCAAAAGTGAAACCAAAAAAACGGAAGGGACATCACCCAGAACCACAGGAACGCTGGCTGAGTGGAAGTCCTACAACTAGGAGGAAAGAGAAACGCATACGGACACTCAGAGGAGGCGCAGTGCTGAAGTCAAATTCTGAGGTGCGGAGTGCGCGGAGCGGGCTGGCGGCAGAGGGCGCGGTTGGCGTTTTCAATCGGGAGGGAGTCGCAGACTCTGAGCTCCAGATCCGGGCGAGTCTTTAGGGACCCAGACTCAAACGGGAGAAGCGGGACTGTCTGGCTTCGGTCAGAGCAAGTGCAGCTTTCTCTCCGAGCTTTGCAGCGGGTGCTGGGACTCAGAGAGGCAGAGCCCCTGGGGACAGGACTGAGAGCCGCCATAACTGCTCTCTCCGGCCCACCCTGTTGATCCTGTGCGACCCGCCCCGCCCAAGCCCTGCACACAGGCATTTGCCGGATAGCCTCAGGCAAACGCCAGATTAGCACCTCCCTAGAGGACAGAAGTTCTCTCACTGCTGACACAGCTGATTCTCATAGCCACTTGGCCTGGAGGTCAAACCCTCCCTGGAATTAGCTACAACAATCAAGATTTAACTATAAGACTGCGAACAAAGACCACTAGGGGGTGCACCAAGGAAGCATAACAAAATGCGGAGACAAAGAACCAAGACAAAATTGTCAATGGAAGATATAGAGTTCAGAACCACACTTTTAAGGTCTCTCAAGAACTGTTTAGAAGCCGCCGATAAACTTAATGAGATCTACAAGAAAACTAATAAGACCCTCGATCTTATATTGGGGAACCAACTAGAAATTAAGCATACACGGACTGAAATAACGAATATTATACAGACTCCCAACAGCAGACCAGAGGAGCGCAAGAATCAAGTCAATGATTTGAAATGCGAGGAAGCAAAAAACACCCAACCGGAAAAGCAAAATGAAAAAAGAATCCAAAAATGCGAGGATAGTGTAAGGAGCCTCTGGGACAGCCTCAAGCGTACCAACATCAGAATTATAGGGGTGCCAGAAGATGAGAGAGAGCAAGATATTGAAAACCTATTTGAAGAAATAATGACAGAAAACTTCCCCCACCTGGTGAAAGAAATGGACTTACAGGTCCAAGAAGCGCGGAGAACCCCAAACAAAAGGAATCCAAAGAGGACCACACCAAGACACATCATAATTAAAATGCCAAGAGCAAAAGATAAAGAGAGAATCTTAAAAGCAGCAAGAGAAAGAAACTCAGTTACCTACAAGGGAATACCCATACGACTGTCAGCTGATTTCTCAACAGAAACTGCAGGCCAGAAGGGAGTGGCAAGAAATATTCAAAGTGATGAATACCAAGAACCTACAACCAAGATTACTTTATCCAGCAAAGCTATCATTCAGAATTGAAGGTCAGATAAAGAGCTTCACAGATAAGGAAAAGCTAAAGGAGTTCATCACCACCAAACCAGGATTATATGAAATGCTGAAAGGTATCCTTTAAGAAGAGGAAGAGGAAGAAAAAGGTAAAGATACAAATTATGAACAACAAATATGCATCTATCAACAAGTGAATCTAAGAATCAAGTGAATAAATAATCTGATGAACAGAATGAACTGTTGATTATAATAGAATCAGGGACATAGAAAGGGAATGGACTGACTATTCCTGGGGGGGAAAGGGGTGTGGGAGATTCGGGAAGAGACTGGACAAAAATCGTGCACCTATGGATGAGGACAGTGGGTGGGGAGTGAGGGCGGAGGGTGGGGCGGGAACTGGGAGGAGGGGAGTTATGGGGGGAAAAAAAAAGAGGAACAAATGTAATAATCTGAACAATAAAGATTTAATTAAAAAAAAAAAAGAGCTCTCTGTATATTTTGGATAAGAGTGTTATCAGATATATTTTTTGCAAATATTTTCACCCAGTCTGTGGCTTATCTTTTCATTCTCTTGATTTTCCTAATTATTTAAAGAAAGAATTAAGTATAGACAGGAAGTCACTAAGAAACTCAGATATAGAGCCACAAAAAGAGAGAGAGTAGGGTCTTCCTCAATCACTAAGAAATTTTCAGGCACAGATTTTACTGTTTTCAATATAAAGAGCTAGTCATTTGGAAAACATCTTCCCAGCCCCGGTTAGATAGCTCAGTTGGTTAGAGAATTGTCCTTATACACCAAGTTTGTCAGTTCGGTCCCAGGTCAGGGCACATACAGGAGTCACTTAATGAATGCATGAATAAGTGGAACAACAAATTAATGTTTCTCTCTTAAAATAATAAAAAAAGAAAATGTCTTCCTTTTCTATACCATTCAACAAAATGCTGCCCAAGTAAGTAAGGACTGTAGCACTTTATAGAAATTAGGTTCTTTCTAGAATGAGTTCAAAAAGCACTGCATCATTTAAAAACATAATATCTAAATAAATAGAAAGGATGTAGTGATGCAGCAAGCAACCAGGGTGCTTTGGGAAGGTATTTTTAAGGATTATAGACACGGCAAAGACCATGCAGAAAAGGGAAAGCATTAGAAAATGGGGAGGGGCTGGGCCAGTGTGGCTCAGTGGTTGAGCGTCTAGCTATGAACCAGGAGGTCACCATTTAATTCCCGGTCAGGGCACATGCCCAAGTTGTGAGTTTGGTCCCCAGGAGGCAGCTGATCAATGATTCTCTCTCATCACTGATGTTTCTCTCTCTCTCTCCATCTTCTTTCCTCTCTGAAATCAATAAAAACGTTAAAAAGAAAGAAAAAAGAAAAAGGGGAAGGGAGCTGGCTCTCACATAGACTAATAAAAATTGTCTGAGGGGAAAAGAGATTCAAAAAACAAGACAAACTCTAGCCGGTTTGGCTCAGTGGAGAGAGCATTGGCCTGTGTTTGATTATGGTCAAGGGCAGGCACATTGGTTGCACTCTTGATCTCTGGCCTGGTCAGGGGCAGTGAGGGAGGCAGCCAATTGATGTCTCTCTCTAAGATAGATGTTTCTCTGTTTCTCCCCTTCCCTTCCACTCTCTCTAAAAATCATTGGAAAAATATCCTCGGGTGAGGATTAACAACAACAAAACAGACAAAGCACACACCCACACACAAGTGTTTCATTTGTCCCAGAAGTAAGACGGTTAGTGTCGCTTCCAAGAAATCTTACTACCCAGGTCTCAGTGAAATTACCTGGCTCCTAATAGTAGAGCTGTACCTTGAATGGCGAGTAATAAGTTAACAATCTTAACAAGTGTTGTGGTTCTCTGAAGGAAAAAACAATATGAATATACTGCCAACATTACTTCAAACACAACTCTACATTTATACAAATTTATTTTCTTTTCCCACGTGGTGACCCAATCATTTCATATTAAGACCAGAAAACAAAGCAAGAAAACCAGGAATAAAAAGTGAAGAAATTTTGTATTATATTCTAGTATTTTTTTTATTATATAAGAGAAAGTAAGTATTAAGAAATCTAACTTCCAAAGAGAAACTCAAAATGCTTTTAAAGAGAATCAGAAAAATGACAGAGCTAGTGCTCCAATTTGTTTGATTCAGTGGTTTCAAAGTTCCAGGTCTTCCTCTGGCCTTGTGAGCCGCACTCCACCGGAAGCCAGAGTGCATGAGGACCACCAGTCCAGGGCTTCTCAATCTTTGCTCTGGACAAACTGACAATTTGCTTGGATTTCTTCTTGTAATGAGTTTTAAGCTAAAATTTCTCTTCTTACACATTGTCATATAAAATGGAAATTTCTGCTTCACCCCCCTCCTGTCATCACAGCAAAAAATAAATAAATACAAATTTGAAAAGGTTAACTAAAACTGGCTTTTAAAACCCAGTTAAAGCAAGATAAGACTGAAGAGACTGGAAAATTTTTAAACGGGGAAGATAAACACAAAAAATAGAGCTTCCCCAAAACACTGAAACCCTCATGCATGGTGACAACTTTCTAAACTGAAATGTCTGGACTTTGGCAGAAGTGTCATGTTTTCTAAAGCCAACTTCTGGAAATCTTAACCTAGATTCAGAAAAATTCCTAACAAAATGAGCCAACAGCCAGGAAAAGGTTACTGAGCACAGAAAATGAGTGATTCCATTCACAAACATATATCCGCAGAAAAGAAGGCACAACCTGGGAGAAAGGTTCAAGAAAAACTCACACCCCATCACAAATCTTCCTTGATGTTGAATTTCACCTGTTTGAGTTCTTAATTTAAAAAATGAAACTTACTAAAACTGAAATATACAGAAAAAATTTATCTGGCCTCTCTCAGGAGGCCAAGGGAGAGCTGAACACCCCTTTCAACGCCAGCTTAAGTCATAGTCTCATAAACTCAAATCCCAGAGATTAGGTCAGCAAGCGCCTGACTATACCGCCAGCTAGTTTACTACGTGTCTTTCACACTTGCTAGCAGTAGCAGTATCTCGAAAAACTTGGCTTCACAGGCCTTTATATTACCTTTCCCAGTTGCCCAAATAAAGTAACTCTCTACTTTAAGGAACCTGCAATGACTTCACTCATTATCACTTCTGGTGCTAGAAATGGGAACTGCTTCGTAAGCAGAGCTTCTAGGTGTAATTGCTACTTCTGCAGGTTTCTATACCTCCTGTTGGCTTTTCAGGCTTTTTAAGATTCCCCCATATTCACCTACTCCATCTAAGGCCCAGCGGTCCTCAACCTGTGGGTCGCGACCCCTGAAAATACATCCTACATATCAGATACTTACATTACGATTCATAACAGTAGCAAAATTACAGTTATGAAGTAGCAACGAAAATAATTTTATGGTTGGGGGTCACCACAACATGAGGAACTGTATTAAAGGGTTGCGGCATTAGGAAGGTTGAGAACCACAGACGCAGTAGCAGTATCACCCCAATTTGTTTTACAAAGGCAACATGGCAATTTCCAGCTGATACTTAGAATGGAACTTGCTTCTTGGTAATACCAGGTTTAAAATGGAAAAAACAGGAAAGAAGGTATCTTATTCTACTGGGTTGGCGAAAGGGAAAACAGCAACACAAAAATCCCTTCAGTCTATTGATCCTACATGAGTCACAGCCGAGTTCTGAAGCCTAATAATTCCTCTAATCAGCTTATATCCTGGTTGTCCAGTCACAAGAAGAACAGGTTCTCGCAGAGCTGGATGGCTGGTTCATGATGCAAGATTTGACCTGACAGGAAAGCTAGCTTGTGGGCATACTTGCAAGGAGCTGGAACTCTGATGGTACCAGGCCAATTCCAGTACATGTGGCACAGTTTGAAAGTCAACCTGCAGCCCAAGAAAAAAATATTATCCTTATTACTTTCCACCTTCATTCTGGGATGTGACTGTGTGCTTATGGGTGTATACTTTCCAGCAAACTGGGGAACTAAGGAATACATTATGTATCTTTTTAAATTTTTTTTTTTACATGAGCCAACTTTTGGGAATCAGTTTTTAAACTGAATTTTTAAAACTGATTTTATAGAGAGAGATACATCTATTTGCTGTTCCATTTATTTATGCATTCACTGGTTGATTCTTGTTATGTACCCTGATCAAACCTGCAACCTTGGTATATTAGGACGATGTTCTAACCAACTGAACTACCCAGCCAGGGCTGGGAATCATTATTTTAAGTGGAATTGTTTCTATTTCCACCATTTGTAAGTCAAGAGGACATGGGTGAATTTCCTCATGTTAGGTGCCCCTGTTTTTATATCAAAACAAGAAAAACAAGGATAATTTTTTTTTTTTTTGGCTGCAGAAGTTTAAGTACTCCAGCAAAATATTTATATGATCTGAGCTTAAGAGTTTGGGATATCAATTAGCTGCACCTCATTAATCATCAAAGAGCAGTTTAAAAGATATAAATGCCTCAGATTGCTTAGGGGTGAAGCCCTGGCATCAGTATTTTTTAAGCTCTTCAAGTAAATCTAATGAACAACAGGATTACCAACCACTCCTCAAAAAGATACCATTATCATGAAAGACATGAAGAAACTCAAGGGGTAAATATTACTGGGGTTGGGCAATGACTTTATGTTAGCTAGCCAGTCAGAGTGAGAAAGAGTAAGTTACTGGTCAACTCACCTCTGCATATGATCGGGGCTCAGGTTTGCAGTGTTGAGAACACACACATAATGTGTAGGAATGCCACAACCCTGCCGGACATGATGGGCAAGAAGGTAGAAGTCTACCCTAGTAAGGAAAAAAGACAAAGCAATGATATGGTTAGATTTGACCAAAAAGAGATGAAAAAGATCTTGGAGCTCATTGTAGCTCCTGCACCTAAGGCTTAGAGGTCAAATAACTGGTTCAAGGACACACAGGGACCAAACCATAATTAGAACTTGTGTTTCCTGACTCAACAGCCTATTCAAGAATCGTGGTAGAAACTAGCATTCTGTGTGCAGAACATTAAGCATGCATGATCTTTTTTATAAAAATAAAAATCTTTTTGTTGAAAATATTACATTACTGGTATGTCCCCTTTTTCCCAAAGCATGCATGATCTTAAGAAAAGAATGTATGTTCAATAGTTTATACCTAAGAGGCAAAAACTTTATTGTTGGTTTGTTTTTTTCTATTAGTTTTTTTAAAGCTTTATTTTTTTAAAAGATGGAAACATGTATTTAGCATTTTTTTCTAATTACAGTTTACATTCAGTATTATTTTGTATTAGTTTCAGATGTACAGCATAGTAGACAGTCGTACACTTTACAAAGTGTTCCCCCTGATATTTCCAGTATCCACCTGGCCCCATACGTAGTTACTATAATATCATACATTTCTTATGCTGTACTTTATATCCCCATTAATCTTTATTTTTTTAACAGTAAAATCTGAGGATTCCATTCCACATCTTCCCAGACAACCTACCTATTCCAATACCCAGGGAATGGACAACTTCTGCAACATATTCTTGCTGAAATGTCATTTTTTTGTCCACTTACCACTCACAGGCTGTGATTGTATGATCCACCACAGTCCCAGGGGAGGGAGTTGTAAAGTGCTCGGTAGCAGCCAGGTACAGATTGGTGCTGATTTTCTTCTGAACTACAAATACCACCATCTTGGGCTGATAATTCTCAAAAGCCTCAAAACACTTCTGCAGCTGAGGAATCTCATAATTGGCAACTGTCTTTAGCTGGCCGTCAGACACCCCATCCCGGTACACCACAATCTTCTCTGGGAGACAGTGGTTCACCTGAAATGACACCTACTATGATGAGAGTGGAGCCCTGAGACTAATGACCAGGCAGAGAGGCTTGCTCAGTGCACAGCCTTGAGACGCAGCAGTCATTTCTACACTTCCACTGGGTAGTAAACAGGTCTGCTACAGAAAAGGCATTACAAAATACAAAAACAAAATAAGCACACATGCATAAGGCTCATACTCAAACAGTGTGAATAACGTTAGAAGGAAGGAAGGAAAATTTGGGGCCGAGTCAATCTCCTACTACACTAATTACTGTTTAGGCTAAGAACAAGGTGAGCTGTTAGAGAAATTCCAGCATAGACCACACATCCTACAGATCCACCATCCTCACATTTTTATGTACCAGCAACATCCAAAGTTGATAACAAGCGAAAGGGTCCTTTGCTAAATATCACCCTACAATCAGTTATAATGTGAAACAGTTTTACTATAACTAAGTAATTAGCAAAAAAAGTCATGGTAAATTGTCCATGGATCCAAATAAAATTAAATGCTGGCTTTAATAGTTTGAAGAATTTTTTTTTCCATTTAGAGAATATAATTATGTTCTAGTCATGTCTGACTTTAACAGTTCAAAAGAACAGGTTGTTCCATTTTAAACTAGGAGTTCTCTGAGAAGTACTTTAGTTTAATTCAGTTAGTAAGTGACAGTTTGATTCTGAGTGTGGTTCATTCTAGGATTTTGTTCACAATTCCCATCAAAAACCTAAATTATCACCCTGCAGGTGTGGCTCAGTGGTTGAGCAACGACCTATGAACCAGGAGGTCACGGTTCAATTCCCCATTAGGGCACAGGCCTGGGTTGTGGGCTCAGTCCTCAGTGTGGGGAGTGCAGGAGGCAGCCGATCAATGATTCTCTCTCATCACTAATGTTTTTATCTCTCCCTCTTCCTTTCTCTCTGAAATCAATAAAAATATACTTAAAAATAAACAAAAAACCCTAAATTATCACTGAATTAAATAGGTACATACTATACATTCTTGATAGGTTGCTCTACATGAAAATTTACAATTTCAATGACCCCTTTTAAACATAATCACCGAGAACCTTGTTAGAGCCTAAATTCAGATTTCAAAGATTTTATGAATGTTCTTTTTTCCTGAGCCACCGCAAGTACTACATTTACAAACATGTAATTCATCTTCGTATTCCAAGACTGGAATTACTGCCCCAGTCTGTAGCACTTTTTTGTGTGTGTGCTGCTTTTGGCCATCTAGCATCTAGTCCACCTTTTGGGGGAAGAGGATTTAGTTTCCTTCTGCCTCCAATATGACAGTCGGTGGGACTATTAATCAAGGTGCCTTCCCCTAATCAAATCCAGGCTTCTCAGCATTATTGACAAGTAGGACTGGCTAATTCTTTGTTGTTGGGGGCTGACAATATAGGATACTTAGCAGCATTCCTGGCCTCTGCCCACTAGATGCCAGTAGCAATCTCCCCAGTTATAACCCAAAATGTCACTGCACTAACCAAAGGACACAGAGAGGATTCAAGCCATGCCAACAGAACACTCCTCCCTTGCTCTGAGTCTTGAGTAGAGACTGAAAATCACTTGTTCCTTCCATGGCAATGCCTCTTCAGGTCCTTGCTTCTGGAACTCTAGGAGCTACCTGGCTCCTGTCTATTTCCCACCGTGATGCTCAACCTTCTCACCAGTCCTCTGAGACTCCCCATGATCTTACCAATTACGTGAAAGTTAGCACATTTCTGTGACTTCCCAAAAACCCCTGAGACACTGTGTTAATAGGTGGCTATCAGAGGCACTTAGATCTGGAAAAAGCCCTCATGTCACAGATGAGGAGAGAGATAGGAAGTACACTGGATCTGGGGCCAGTTGACTTGGGACTGAGTCTGACTCTACTGCTGTTCAGCTATGTGTTTCCTTAGTTGAAAAATGGAGATAAATGACTACCTTCTTCTTGGGGTTGTTAAAAGAGATAGGGTAAAATCTAATCTAATAAAAGAGAAACATGCAAATTGATCGTACTTTCACTATGCCCCAAACCACGCCCACCAGCTAATCAGGGTGACTATATGCAAATTAATTAACCCAACCAAGATGGCGGCCGGCAGCCATGGAGCTGAAGCAAGCAGAAGGCTTGGTTGCCCTGGCGATGGAGGAAGCCAAGCTTCCTGCCTGCCCTGGCCAGCTGTGGCCTCCGCTAAAGGCAACAAAGTTTCAATTATAGAAGATAAATAAATCCCAGATACCTGCTTCCAGCCAGCCTCCACTGGGAGCTTGAGTGGCTGGGGGCTGTGGCCAACCTGAAAACAGCCATCAGCCACTCACCCAGGCTGGCCAGGCACCCCAGCAGGACCCCCCCCTTCCTGAAAGTGGTGTGGCCAACCTGAAAACGGCCCTCAGCCCCTCACCCAGGCACCCCAGTAGGGACCCCCACCCTGAAGGGGGTATGGCCAGTCTGAAAATGGCCCTCAGCCCCTCACCCAGGCTGGCCAGGCACCCCAGCGGGACCCCCACCCTGATCCGGGACACCCTTCAGGGCAAACAAGCCAGCCCCCACCCATGTACCAGGCATATAATAAAAGGGTGATATGCAAATTGACCCTAACAGCAGAACAACTGGGAATGACTGGTCACTATGACACACACTGACCACCAGGGGGCAGATGCTCAATGCAGGAGCTGCCCCCTGGTGGTCAGTGTGCTCCCACAGGGGGAGCTCTGCCCAGACACAAGCCAGGCTGACGGCTGTCAGCACAGCAATGATGGCGGGAGCCTCTCCTGCCTCCTCAGCAGCGCTAAGGATGTCCGACTGCAGCTTAGGCCTGCTCCCCGCTGGCAAGTGGACATCCCCCGAGGGCTACTGGGCTGCCAGAGGGATGTCTGACTGCCAGCTTAGGCCCGGTCCCCCCAGGGAGCGGGCCTAAGCAAGCAGGTTGACATCCCCCAAGGGGTCCCAGACTGAGAGAGGGCACAGGCCGGGCTGAGGGACTCCCCCGAGTGCACAAATTTTTGTGCACCGGGCCTCTAGTAATAAATATAAAAATAAATAACATAAACTGATGAACAAAAACAGATCCAGAGACAGAGAAGCATCGATCAGACCGTCTAACCCAGCCGTGGGCAAACTACGGCCCGCGGGCCGGATCCGGCCCGTTTGAAATGAATAAAACTAAAAAAAAAAAAAAGACCGTACCCTTTTATGTAATGATGTTTACTTTGAATTTATATTAGTTCACACAAACACTCCATCCATGCTTTTGTTCCAGCCCTCCGGTCCAGTTTAAGAACCCATTGTGGCCCTCGAGTCAAAAAGTTTGCCCATCCCTGGTCTAACCTCAGAGGGAAGGCAGGAGAGGGTGGGGGGAAGGGGGAGAGATCAACCAAAGGACTTGTATGCATGCATATAAGTATAACCAATGGACATAGACCAGGGGTGGGCAAACTTTTTGACTCGAGGGCCACAATGGGTTCTTAAACTGGACCGGAGGGCCGGAACAAAAGCATGGATGGAGTGTTTGTGTGAACTAATATAAATTCAAAGTAAACATCATTACATAAAAGGGTACGGTCTTTTTTTTGTTTGTTTTATTCATTTCAAACGGGCCGTAGTTTGCCCACAGCTGACATAGACACTAGGGGGGTGAGGGCATGAGTGGGAGGGTGGAGGAGGCAATGGGGGAATAAGGACACATATGTAATGCTTTAATAAATACAGGAAAAAAATTAAAATTAAAAAAAAATACAGGTTCCAGAAAAAATATATATACAGGATGGGGCAAAAGCAGGTTTATAGTCGTTCATATAGAAAATAATACAATAATTAATAAATAATAACACAATAAACTGTTCCACATACTCACACTGTAACCCTACTTTTGCCCCACCCTGATATGTATGTATCTTAAAAGCTATACACAAAAGTTGAGACTGATCTATGTCAAGGAAATACAGATATTTATGAAGTACAGAAAAGGGACAATACAAGATGAGTGGAGTGAAAAATAGAATCAAATTCATTTGAAGTATTCACTGATATTACCTCTTTCTTTAAAATTTGCTAACCAACCACTGAATGTGATTCACTATACTTTGCCCTATGTAAGCTTCCAGTAGAAGTGAAAGACATGATTCCTGCTATCAAGGAACTTAAAAAACCTAACAACAGTCAACAATGCTAAGTGCTCCAGGTCATCTGGTCTATTCTTCTTGTTTCATAAGCGATAATAAAACTATGTTCTAAGGAGGGGTCAGGATATATGACAAATCACAATATTAACACATAGATGTTAAATGTACTGTATGTTAAACCAGTACCTAAAACAATAAATTAATTAGTTCCTTGAAAGCAGGACTATGCTTGTTTGGCTTGGTATCCCTAGCTCTGACTACAATGGCAAAGGTCAAGCAGAAAATAAGTATCTGCTGAAAATCTGAGTCCTTTTATGGGTGCCTCAATTTGTTCATAGAACACACCTAATGCCCACTAGTTATGAGCCATTGTGCTAGTCTCATAAAATTAGAAAATTACTTTGAGACCATCAAATATTCATGGAACTCAAAGTAGAACTGGGAAACAGACATATAAAGCAAATGCTCTCAATACATTATCATAAGGAGGATAAGCAAAATGTTGTGAGAACAGAGAAGTATAAGATATTTGTTCTCTGGAGGGAGACGTGAACATTATGCCTCAGGAAAAGACATGATGAAAGAATTAGAAAATTCAGTCAGCAAAGAAGGGTAAAAGGATCCAGGTAGATCATGAGCAAAGGCTTAGATTGTGGCTGGACAAGGGTTAAGTAAATGACTGAAGATTACTCTGGCAATGATCTACAAAAACAGATTGAAGAGGATTAAGAATCAGTATTAGGAGATGACTTTCAGTTCAGGATATTAAAAAAATACAGAAAACCTCCATTCCCATGATAACACCACAAAATAATATAAAAATCACACATATATGTGGGACTATCAAAGACGAGCAGATACAGAAAGCCTTGATAAACTGATGTCCAGAGATGG